AATACTAATGCCGCTCAGACAATCGGTGTGAGGATGCCACGTCAGTGATAAGTGGTACATTTAGTCGTCAAACATGATATACATGTTTGGTTTAAAAATATTCATACAAACACAGTACAGAATTAATGAACTGACTTGCAATAATTCTGAAATGTTGATATGCTGAAACGCCTCTAAATATTTATATGCCAGGCTTTGGGTGAAAAAATTTTGAGAAAATTTCAATGAGAGACAATAACTAGGTAAAACCAGGAATTTAAACAGATAAATATGAAGAACGGAAAAAGTAATGATTAGATGTTCCAGACTATCGACGTGAAAACTACATGTTAGTAATGTTACTGGAATCCCTCAGCGTGTTTGCGCCAGGCGCTGCGTCAAATAGTTTTGAAAAAAAAACCTCAAGGTAGGATAAAAACAAAAAAAACCTCAAGGCAGGATAAAAGTTTCCCTCCTTCTACCTTCAGTGCAAACAGTCTCCTTGATATCTGCTTAAGAGGTTTAAGCAGATATCAAGGAGACCGCCTGCACTGAAGAAAGGAGGGGAACTTTTATCAAGCACTTATAGTAATTGAAATATACGTATGCGGAGGAGGAAAATTAGCAAGTAAGATTTGGTCCCACCGGCAAACTATCATTTCGTCGGGCGGTAGGTATTCCATAATCCGTGGATTGTAGGGCTAAGCTGCAGGATAAAGGAGAAGCGGTGGCTTTACATTTGAAATTCTCCTCCCTCTACAAATATTTGCTTTCTCATCAGTGCTTTTAAGGATATATCAGTCACAGATATCCTCCTTTCCATCCTCTTCTCATTTCCATGAAAAATGCCAAACAGCACAGAATGAATATTTTTACCCATTTCAGTTTAATGAGTTCATATTTCGATTTTTGAGCCTCTCTTTTGAATTTTCGGCAAGACGCATCAATCCGATAGGCTGAATGTGGTTGAAATTTGAAAACTGTTTTCGAATTTTGACGTTCCAGAATCGAATATTTTTGCCCGAATTATTCCCCGCAGAAAAATGGCATTTTGAACAGAAACGTGGGAAATTTAATCAAATTTTCTTTTACTTCTGCTCTCATACGAACGAACTTTCGATCCAATTTACTGACATTCCATATTCCACAAGTTTAATGCTCATTTACAAACCGAATATGACAGTAACTAATCACTCATGTTTTACTGGCCACTCTTTTATTGTCTTTCATTATACTGTTCAGCATTCTGTTTCCCAAACATTCTGAATGTGACATCTTCGCCTTATTGATTTCTGGTATTCGAGCGCAAAAAAAGAATCTTGATTTCTTAAATACGTAGCTGTTCACAATCAGGCAGAAAACACGGAACCCAAACAAACTACTAAGTTCGCATATTTGATCAATTTGCGCAAAAAATTCGTTCATTCGTTTCGATTGTAAATTGGTGCTGGCATATGCTAAAGGGTCAAACCAGTCATCAGCTTGCTTATAATCGGTCTTCGAAAAAAGGTACCATCGCCAACTTAGCCAACGAGTGGATGCTACTGGTATTTATAACTATTCGGGCTACTTCCTTAGTGGCTTCGCCTCTTACAAGGAGAAAATACGGAGGGGGCTAACTTTCGATATCTTGACTTTGATACTTGATCAGCTGCAGTTCGTAGCGCGGTTCTCCAACGAATTTAGCTGACGATAAGTTTTTCAGTTGCTCTAGCGAGTACTGCGTTGCTTAGTGGTCAGCCTGCTAGCGATATTGACTTTTCTTTCACTACATAAAAGGATTACGGGTGCTTCACAGAGATTCCCCTCCGGCTTTGCCACGTGGACTTTTCACTTATAAATGACTTTCTAATGGCCGTTACTTATTATTCTCCTTAGACAAATCTTGCAAACACGAATTGTAGGTTAGTAAAGGCAGGTTAATAAATAATTTTTACAATGAGGTTGTAGGTGTCGTGAATGAGAAACAAACTGAGCAATGTAGTGAGAAAGGAATTGACAAAATAGAGAAAGGAGTGGCAACAAGAATGCGAAATCAAATTTTTTAGACTTTTAAGGCTATTTACACAATCAAAATATGCTAAGTGGCTGGTAAATGCTTGGCCGGAAACCAAAATGTTGCTCAAAAACAAATTATTAGGTTCCCAGTAGTGATTTAAAGCACAGTATTGAAAGTACGTGAAAAAAATACGCAATTTCTCACATTTTCATATCCCAGTGCCGCAAGGTGGAGACAACTGGCCTATAGACTTGACAGAGTGCAACATAATTTTGATACGAAGAACAACCGAGCAGCATTGATCTCAAAAATAATCAAAATTTCAACTTTCCAGGTTTCATAGTTCAGAATCATGTATCAGGACCATACATCACACAGGCATACGCTATACACACCTACATGCACACTCATACAGACACATACATACATGTATAAACATACATATACACGCCTACACATACATATAAACATACATGCATACAATATACGTTTTGTCTTCATCATACATGTATGCATGTATACATTATACAGATACATAAATAAAAACACAGAAACGTACGTACAGACACACATACATAAGTACATCATACACGCACACATATACACACAGTACATAGACCCATACATACATATATAGATGCATACATAAATACATGCGTATATACATACATACATACATGCATACATACATACGTATATACATACATGCACACATACATGCATATATATATATATATATATATGTATGCATATATACACATATACATGCATACATATACATACATACATATAAATACATGCATACATGCACACATGCATACATATTTTTCACACATACATACATGCATACACACATATACATACATAAATACATACATATACACATATATAAACTAAGGAATGAGACTTTTTAGCCTGCCTGAAAAACGCATAAAAACTCATCAAAAAAGGAACTGAATGGAGAAGTGGAAAAAGAAATTGTTTTAGCATAATTTTGCGAACAAATAGAGGAGCTCTCAAGTTAATTAAAATTGTGCTCCATTTTTTCGCTTCTTTTTTTTCTGGTATTATCTGGCATTCTCATTAAAAACTCAGCATATACGACTTTAGCTTATAGTGCAATCTGCGAAGTATTACGAGATTCTATTAGGGCAAAAGAAAGCTTTTGCACTTTCCGTATTATTTGATAAGTCCCATATTAGTGAGTGGTACCTTTACGAGAAAGTAAACGGCCATTTGGGCGGTTTGGAAGAGGAGCGCACATACGTCGAACAGGCGATGGTACCAATTGTAAGTATACTGCCCAGGATCCAAGAACTCGACAAAAATTCAACTCTCTATTACTGCAGCAACGTCAGTTTTTCCTCACTGCTTGTGAGGAGGACATTTCCTCAGACTGTTTCGCATTGCTAGCAGCTGCATTTCTTGGTCGGCAAGTTAATTCGCTGAAATCTTAAATCTCCAGTGTTTGAGAAAATATTAATTTACGCCAGCAACGTCTCGAAACGGCTAATGACTTGTCACAAGTTTCTGTCAGGAAACCGCTGAGCTGATAGTTCTGGTGACGAAACGAAAATTCCTTCCGTCAACAAGCTGACCAGAAGACGATACAGGACTGGTCAGGACTATGAAAATGAATGCTGTTGAGCCAGTAATCCCTTCAGAAGACACAAAAAAAATCAGGACCACCAGCACTCTGACCACACGGAGGCACTGGTCAAAGCAGCAGGAGAAATGCCAGTTTCATAAACTGGAGAATCACTCTGTGAATTACAGCTGAATTATAGTAAGTTTTGCAAAAAGGCATCAAAGCAAAGTTGTCCTCCCTCCGCATCCCCAGTGTATCGTGTACTTATTTAAAAGCATCGGCCACACTTCTCAGCATGCCTGGATATCTACTGTTGAGAGGGAAAAAAATATTTTGGATTCTTCTTCCAGAAAAGTCGCAGCTCTCGTACTAGGCTTTTCCACGAATGCTCCTATCTGAAAAATCCATGCTGCACCATAGATCATGCAATGTTGTGATGTGTGGCAAAATAAGAAAGTGCATTTGAAGTAAACAGTGAAAGCTATGTGTGCTGAAAATTCAGCAAAACACCAAAAATCCAACAAAGTCATGAAATAATCCTTCAAAAAAAAAGAATGTCACGATCGTCAGGACTATCATTGTGCGCTTTCCACATTAATGGTATTACTGGGATGTTCCCACACACGCCTGGAGCAATTACGCAAAGTTCTTTGATCCTGAACTATATATCACCAGTTGTTGGTGTTCACTGCCTGTTCGATGTACGCGTGCTACTTTTTCGGAAGCTGCCCGTGTGGTCGTTTACTTTCTCTTGGATATCAAAACAGCACCTTTGAAAAAGGACAATGTGGTACTCAAGTAGCGATATTGATGTGCTATTGAACAAATTGTTGTTGCTTCAAAAAAAAAAAAAAGAAAAAAAACACAGCCTCCTCATTTGACTTCATAAATTAAAGATTCATCACAGGTGTTGCGCCATTCGTATGCAGCCCTCGGCACTCACTCCTCCCTCATTCAACGCCCTCTTTCTTTCATTCCCACAGTCCACAGATCTTCTCTACCTTCCATTCGTTGAAGAACAACTTATGTACCTTCTTATTTTTGTTAGCTTCGCATCACTTGTTGCAGTTTCGGTGGCCAATAATCAGGCAAGCATTGAAAGTGTGTTGTTATATTATTGTCAGAACTAAAGAAAATCCATCTTTCATGAACTGCTCGAAAAGCAAGTCGTCAATATTTGAACGCTAAGCCGAGAGCTAGAAGTACTTCTGTTAGTCATATGAATTTGCTAAGGAAAAACCAAGGAGCCACAACGGCAGATCTTGATACACGTGGCTGTGTGGTTTCTTTTTTTGTCAAAGTTAAAAGTCAAAACCCTCTTCACAATCACTTCTATAAGAGGCGGAGGCATCCAGAAGTCGGTTCACTCAATTTCTGTTGACAAATTTCATTTGCAGATTTTGCGTGCAATAATTATAAATTGCAGTGTGGCGATTTGACAACTCGAAGAGCGATTGAGAAACGCGGACGACAAATTAATTTAAAATGCATTGAAAACAGGCAACAGCTACAGAAATGCTCCAATCGTGTTGCCGTCGATGAAGCGTGGAATCTGTTTGAACATGCTAATGAAAATTATTCCATGGTTACCGGAATTTTTTGTAATCTTCTCCAGAAAAAAATCCAAACTTTCATGAATTTTAGTGCATAAAAATTAGAAAAAGTTTTAAATTTGTATGAAATGAAAAATCTAGTTTACTTTAGTTAGGGAGTGGTATGATAGAGGAAGTAACGACCACTCGTGTGGCTTCCGAAGAAATGGTGCACATACCCGGATAGGCGGTGGATACTAGCTAAAGGTATGCAGATCAGGATACGAAGCTCTGAAATAGCTAGGCTTTTCGATGTCGAAATGTGGATGCATCCCAGCGACATTACTAACATGGAATTTACATGATTATTGTTCAGTCGGCCTTGTTATTCTTGGCATAGCTGCTATTCGAAAATCTTGACAAGCCTATGTTTTTGCATAAATCGAAAGCTCATCATGCTCAGCACTTTTAATTCACAAATTTATAGTTCGAGAGGCAGTAGTTAGTATGAAGCAGTTTATTTCAAGAAAATCGAAAACTTTACACTGACGTTCTGGACAAATCTCGATCATTTAATTCACTTCAGGGCCTGGATTCATGCAAGGAAGCTCAACGCGAGAAGCGAGACTGTAAATGTATCTGGCAAGAAACTATTCATAAACCGCATCATCGTGGCAAATTGACTAGGATTCAGGAAGCTAAGTTTGACAGACAGGAAATAACCGATACGGAAAAGGTTCGTGGACGACGTCATGATTACGGAAGCAACGATGATAAAAAAGATGAGGTTGGATTTAAGAGTACCACTAACTTCTTTCTATCACTAATGAGGAAGGGTCACTGCAAGCAGCTTCTAAAACCCTCACCATAAAAAGAAGTTGGTGAACGCTTTTTTCGAGTCAAACACCTCCAAGCCGTTATTACTCTTATGCTTATTGCCGCATGTTTTTCTGGTCATCTATCGCTTGGTGTTTCAGGAGGAAATGCCAGAAGCAAAGGATTACTCGAAGGATTTTACGCGATCGAGAAGATATACATGTTTGGAAGATGCAAACAGAGAAAAGACGAGACTATTCGAAAAATTTGCAAGTCTATGTGACAAAAAAACTGTGTAAGTTTTCATAGAGTTGTAGTGAATAACCATTTTTTATGCGTTTTTGCAAATATGCAAATGCAAACCCAGGCTGGAACGCACCAGGCGAGCCGGTGCGATCATGCGTTTTTGCATCAAA